TAGACTAAATAGGCCTTTTGCTGTTGAGTGTAATTTGAATTGCAGCAAATTCTCTCTTTGGCTAAGAACATGTTTATTCTGACATAACTGCATCTGACACCAAACATAACAATACTTCATTTGACTGCTAATGTCAAAAACCCAAAAAAGCTGCATGAATGATTATGTGGTTCATCTCTGCTGTCATTCTTGCTGCTACAGTTCAATTTTCAACAATACAGCCAAGCTGACTAATGAAATCTATCCTGATCACATGAAGTATTGCTTAAAGGCTGCTTGAGCTATAAACTAAATTATGTCCACCTGGCTAAAACACTAAGTCATGTTTTCTGCTATGGGCACCCCACTGTCTATTTAGAATTCAAACGCCTATACACTCATACAAAAGCTCTCCTCTGGCATCAGATGAAGCAGAAATAGGCCCCACACATGAACATTCAGGCAGGTCAACGTGTATAACACCAGCCAAAAAATGAGATGGCACGTTAGGAAGCAAAACTTATTAATTACAGGCTCAGTCTTGGAAGTATTTTATTAGCTAGCCCTCAGGAGTTCTGCCTTTCATTGCACAGACATCTCAACCACTGCCACCTTCTCAGAAGTCCAAGGCTTGCTGCTTTATGCAAGCTAAGAATCTGTGGAAGGGATGGACCAAACAGAAGCCAGACATTGGTGGTATTTTTCATAGTGTTTTATTAGAATTTTTCTGGGCATGAAGTGGTTGGGTGAAGAATTTTAACCAACACAAATGCTTTATATGTATCTCACAAAATCTCTCAAATTCTGTAGCAGCTATGTCCTACTGCTTAAACTGTTTTGCCCATGGATTGGTAGCAGACTTTACAATAACACTAGACTTTGTCTCATGACAAACTCTGACTTTGGTGATTGACTGCATGCTGAGGAACTGGATATTAGGTGCTTTAGACCTTTGGTTTTGTGGCATTTATCAGTTCTCACAGATTTCCATTAGGATTTGAGTCTTTATATCTTCCACAGTTTGCCTTTAGAGGTAAAATTTTCTAGGATATTGGAATGATTCTCCCAAAAGAAAGATACATTTGGGACTACAGTAAGAAACATGACAAAACTAATTTGAATTCATATAGACACAGAGTTTTCTCTTGTATTTTCTGTTGTATGCTTCTGACTGAGGAATCCCAGCCTTCTCTCTCTGATGCACCATTTTCCCCCAGCTCCCCCAGAGGAGGTACCTTTCATCATCACCATCCCTTACTTCCTCAAGGACTCCTTTGTGCTCTCAACAATCATATGGGAGCTGGTCTCTAGGGAACCTGTGCTGTGATCTGCTGCCACTCCTGACATTTGATATCTCTAATGGCCATACCTTTTCTATCTCTAGATTATTGATTTCATTATTCAGTAATGTTACTGGCAAGACAGAGGTACACAAATAGTGGAAAGGAAAAAATTATAGTGGTCTGAATAGCAGTTGTCTCTGATGTGTGCAAGTATCAGGGATGAAATGCGCAGACACAGTTGAGGAAAATGTGGTGTTATTTACAGGTCTGTGGGGAATAAAACAAATAATCTCACACCTGCCAATACATTACTGGCTGATGAACCCCTTTAAAATAAGACAATCAACAAACAAAAAAAAGCAGAATATTTTACTCTTAAAGGGAATTGCTTTGAGGAAGGATTACTTGTCTTACTGACTACTCCTGCTAAGAAGCACATATTTTCTGGAGGCTCCTTGGGAAACTGTACTAGGTGACCTTAGAAATGGCTTAACATGGTGGCAGGCTGTTTGTACCTTTATGAAGGTACAATGGGATCCCACATAAATCACACTTGTGCAATATAAGAAAGTTTAATTTCCCACTGGGCTCTGCCAGCAAATTTAGACTACTTGTAAAACACACTATCAGTCTGCTGTAGCCAGCAGTTTCCATAGAAATATGTAGTATCTTTAAAACTACACTTTTTCCAGAAGAGATCTTCCACTTCAAGCAGTGGGGCCAGCAATGTGGGAAGCTCTCCTGGAACAAGAGAAGTAGGGAAAGTGTTCATCGTGCCCATCATGTGTTACAGCTGTAGTGGGTTTCTATCTATAGGTCAAACTCTTAGATGGTCAAAAATGCTAAGAACAGCTACTCAGGCCTAAAAAGGATTAATTCTGTTCTCTGTTGTGACTAACAGGAGAGTTGTGTTAACACCATGAGATGGATTGGCACGTCACTTCCAACTGGCAGCTCCCTGTGCTCCACTTGCACATGCAGTGATTCACCAGCAGTGGGTGGTGAATTATGCAGAAGCAGGCAAAAGAAGATGGGATGAAATCTTCAAAAGAAGATAGGATGAAATCTTCTTTACCATCCTGAGCTTATCTGCTGAAGATGAAGATGATTTGTTCCTGGATGGCTCAATGGGTATTTTCACAATACCCAAGTTAAATAAGGAACCTACCTGGACTTTTCAAAGGTTATTTTACAATATGATTGATCCAGTTGTTTTGTCTTGGTGTGGTACAGTCTTTCACAGGCTAATTATAGGGATGGCTTTTCTGCAGTGCTGTGTTAATATCAACTGTCAAAGTACCACCTCAGCAAATGGGAAAGTCATTACATTTCTGTGTCAGATTCTGCCACTTGCGCTCCCAGGGACCCGAATGTTACTGAGTTCTGCTGTAGCTCCGTAATAGGACTATGATCAATGATTCTTCTTGTGCTAGAAGATAACAGCTGCTGAGAGTAGCAGAGTTTGTCTTTTCATGCTTTGTACTGACATACCCAACAGTTTTTAGGTTTTAAAATATTGCTCACATAAGAAAATGCCCTGCTTTCTCACTGATTGTTCACATAAAATTAAAACGACCCTTCATATATTTTGCTCTGTAAGAACCGAACTCAGCTCAGCGAGGAAAACTGTTTGGGGCGAAAACCATTGCCTTCCACCTGTTCTAAAATAAACATTAAAGGGTATTTGAGCAGGAGGGATAAAAACCTCCGGAGCTCTGCTCCAGCCGAAGCGAGGGGAGCTCTGCCCAGCGTTCAGTGATTGCCTGTCTGTGTTCGCGCCTCGCTGTGTCCCGAGACTCGCGGCGCGTTTCACCTTGGCAAAACGCCGCGCCCCGAGTGCCGGGCGAGGCGCTGAGAGCATCCCCTCAGCACCGGCGAGCGCGAGGTGTATTTACCGTCTCGCTGTATTTCCATGGAAACTCTGATTGTCACACCGCGCGGCGCTGAATTACCGGGCTCCAGGGCTGCCTGGAGAGGCCTCCCGAAGTGCCCCCCCGCTGCAGCCCCAGCTCGGCCGAGCGGGCGGCGGGCGCGGCACCGACGGCGGCACCCCCAGACCCGGGGCCCGGCCCTCGGCCGCGGGCGAGCCCCGGCGCCGCCGCAGCACCCCCGCAAGATGCCACCAGCCCTGGGGGCTGCGCGCCTCCCTCCGCTTCCTCGGAGGCGCGCTCCGCCCGCCCGGGCCGGAGCCGCGAGTGCGGATCAGAGCCGTGAGCGCAAACCGGAGCCGTGAGTGCGGACCGGAGCCGTGAGCGCGGACCGGAGTCGCCGCCTCGCCCTGCCCGCGCCGCCCCCGCTGCCCCTCCTCACCGCGGAGCGCCCGCAGAGGGACACGCGCGCAGGTAACGCGGAGCTCGGCTCGGCTCAGGTCGGTTCTGCTCAGCTCGGCGCAGCTCAGCTCCCCTCCCCTCACGGGGCGGCCGCGTAAGTTTGCGCGGGGCCCCGCCCTGGCACCAAGTGCGCGGGGATGAGGGAGCGCAGCAGCCCTGCCGCGGGTGGCGGTGTCGCGGGGATGGGATGGGATGGGATGGGATGGGATGGGATGGGATGGGATGGGATGGGATGGGATGGGATGGGATGGGATGGGATGAGGGAGCGCAGCAGCCCTGCCGCTGGTGGCGGTGTCGCGGGGATGGGATGGGATGAGGGAGCCACCAGCCCTGCCGCGGGTGGCGGTGTCGCGGGAATGGGATGGGATGGGATGAGGGAGCCACCAGCCCTGCCGCGGGTGGCGGTGTCGCGGCGGCCGCGGGGCGCCCGGGGCTCGGGCTGAGAACGGGAGCGCGGTTTCGGACGCGGAGCGGTGCAGAGTGGTTCCCAAAGGAGGCGTGGAAGGGTACGAATATCTGTCGTTCCCGTTTTGGGGTGGTTTGGTGCTTTTGCACTCCAGGAGCCAGGAGTTGCTGTGGTCCCTGGAAAAAAAAAAAATGTAGCCAAGCGTTTCAAGTTTTCTGTTCTGGCCAACGAATAGCCCATTATGTTCCATAGCATTTCCTTGGAGCTGGACATACAATCTTATTAGTTGGGTTCGGCATAATTTGGGAAGTTTTATTCTTATTTTCCGGGATAATGGTGTAGTTCTTTTGGTGATTCAGAGAAAGAGGCAGACCATTAATGTGTACAAAAATCGGGCTTTTTTTTGACTTCTGAAGTAATTTCAATCTGTTGAATTCTTCCAGGTTCTCAGGCTAGTTTTTGCTGTTGCACATTAGGAACAAGAACATGAGAATCAGCAGCTTTTTATCCTTAGCTTGTGTAGCGAATGCAAGACTTGAGTGGTTTCAGATTTTGTCTCGGATGTTATCTCAGTCGGTATTGATGTGAGGGTATTATTTCTTCGGTTGTAACAACACAGCTCAGTGCTTTCCTAAAGCTTTGGTGGTCGTGCGGTAACGGCTACTCATATTAACTATTTACATCTGTGTGGTTGCTTAAAAACCTTCACTGACTTATTCTGTGCAGTCTTGATATTTCTCCAGTCTTATGAGGGCAGAAAGGTTGTACTTACAAATTTACACAATGTGCTTCCTTCCTGTATGTTTTCACCATGGGGTTCGGGGGGGTTTGTTTTTGAGATTTTTTGTGGGGTTTTTTCGGTTGTTTTTTTTTCTTCTTTTAACATAGAGAAAGGTCATCCAAGACTGTAAATTCTTCAGAGCTATAAAGGTTAATTGCCCTGTTGCAAGGATTAAACTGACTGGACCGTACAAGGACCAGCCAGTCAGAGATAACTTAATAGGTATTAATATTGTGGGATGTAAGCTCTTATCCCTGAATAAACCTTAATATAAGTATTTCATCTAATTGAAAGAACATTTCCAGAGAAAAAAATTGCCTCTAGAGGATGATGGTTGCCTGCCTAACTTTTGTGCTCTTGAAAATTTCCCTTTAAATATATAGAGAAATATAAATATCCAGCCTATTAACTGTCCTAAATTATGATTTAGGGAATTTGTAATTTAAGCAATAGCTTTAAGTGAAAAAATGATGTTAAGTATAAGATGTTAAGCATGTTAAATTAGCACAGGTTTTCTGGTGCCTCTAACTCAGCTAAATGCTAACTGCAATCATTTGACTCTTACAGTAAATATTCAAATCTACCTTGGATCCTGCCACAAAACTGCAGTCTCTATTGCCTTGAGCAGCCTAGCCTCCAGCCTCAAGCATTCCAGTGAAACTACAGGAGACCTGGGCAAGCCCACACAGAGCTCCCACAGGTGTAGCTGAGCACAGTCAGGAATGTGCCATGTCCAAACCAGCATTACAGTGCGGGACCTTGATTGCTTGACTGGTAGATGCAGGAGGTGAAAGTGATCCGACGTTTGGAGCTGACAGCTAGAAAACCTCCAGCAGGTACCTTCAGATTAACTAAATCTCAGCTTTGAAAACAGGCGCAAGCCACCCTGGCACTATCACGCACTTGGTTTAGAAATACACTTCAAATATGAGGTGAAGGTTTTGAAAAGGGACTGTATTACTTAATCCTGTTTTCCACAATGGGATTTCCAGGAATTTCCATTTCCCTGAAAGTTACAGCCACGTGCTGCACTGGGATTGACCAACCAACATAAGGGAGGGCGAGCCAATCTCTGAGAACAGGAACAGCTGTTAAAACAAAGCAGGGAGATAAATGCCAATAAGTGCACACAGCCCTGTGAAATCAGTGGCATGCTAAGATGACTTTGGGGACTAGAGATCAATGATATGGGAGGAAAACTTCTGTTTGCATCTTCACTGCTGCTGGCACTCAGACTGACAACAACGGGTTTCTTTTTGAGCGGGAGAAAAACCCCAGAGAGCAAGAGATCTACTTAGCATATTTTGAAATTAGGGGGAAAGCCTGATTTCTTTTTACACATCCAAAATTAAAATTCTCTTTGTGCATTTTGCAAAGGGAACCTGTGTTAGCACAGCAGTTGTCTGTTGAAACCAGTAGATTATACTGTTATTCCTTCCCTCTCTGTCTTGCTGTCACTCTGGAACTGTGACTACAGGAAGATGGTGTATAAGGGTTTTCTATGCTCCACAGACATTTTTGGTGCCCTAGGTGTCCAGCCAGGGTTTGAAGAGATCATGTTGTGACTTCTTCCAGTGCTCCTTCCTCATGGAAATGAAGACACGTGGTAGGGAAGAGTTTGTCTGTCACCTGAGTTAGAGGGCAGCCATAGCACAGAAGGAACAGAGCTGGTAAGCCCATGCTGAACTTCAGAGGCACTCCTGCTAAACTTCCTCAGTACTGATGCATCCCAACAAAATATGTCTGCTTCAGAAAACCAGCATGTTTTCTTTTTGTTTTTAAAGACATAATTTGAATTAAAACCACAATGAACCCTTCTGCTAAATCCACACTGCAAGAGCTTTATGTGGAGGTGTAAAAATCCACAGAAACTGGCAACAATCTTTCACTTAAACCTTCAAGAAGAATTTAGTAAACATTAATTTATTAAACATGTTACAACATAACACTACATAAAATTTTGTTTCTTGGTCTTATTCATAGCATTATTTTACCTTATCCAGGGCAGAAAAAGTTATGTAGTAGAAATTTCAGCAGATTTGGAAAGTCACTGTGGTGCACATACCATTTTCAGTTGCTTACTAGCAACTCAAAAACTAGCTCAGAAAAATTAAATAAAAACTACTTACTTCATGAGCTCAGAGTTGTATAAAGAGAAATCAAAATGAAAACTACTGATTGTATCAATGTAGAAACAGAGAGATTAGATCACTTACCAAATCTCTAGTCTGCTCCTTTCAAGTTGGTCTAGAGGAAAATGTAGACTCAGATATCACTACTTGTCTGTTATATGGGTTTCCACCATTTCACTAAAGACTAGAAGAAACTGAACAGAAATAATATGCATTAATGCCTCTCTGCTCATATACACACAATTTAATATTTTGGTTATCTAATTTCATGTATTCAGTTCATAATTCAGTTTTAGCTGTTAAAAAGCACTTTAATGTTGAGGCAAATTGGGAAGGCTGACTTCCTTTCACCTCTTTCCAACATATTACCTGCAAAGTCTTTTCATATGTATATTTCTACTCTTACTTGGAGGACCTTCTCGTCACAATACAGTGAGTGAACATTCTCAGGTTGTTTTATGGTTTGAGCTTCCCTTTGGCTCAAACCATAACCATAGGAACACACATGATGTGAAGGAAAGAGCACATCTGCATGTGTGGAGGGAGCCAAATAATATTATTGCACTTTGAAAATGTCAGCATGGTACAGCTCACTGAGGATTGCTACAGTCTCAAAGAGCCCTGCCTTTTTAGGTGACAGATACAGCCTTCTGCTGTATTGACATATGCTGTGGGTTTGTAGATCTTTTTCGTTTTCTCTTATGTAAGTTTTCTAAACATTAAGCAGTTTTGTACAGGACTTTGGCACTCTGGGGAATTTTGACTTTGAAATTCTAGTACATGCAAGTGTTTAAGATAAATGGAGGTTTGAACTGAATTCTCATGTCTTTCTGTTTGTTCTAAAATGAAGACTAATATATGAAGATTCAGTAGGCAGAATAACTTTGTGCTGAGCTAGGTTGAACACTAGATGATTCTGTGCTGAATAAGTTGCCGTTCACTGAATTTTCAAATGGCTGTGTGGAGTTTGCCTCCAGTTAACACTGTCCTCTCTATATTACATCCAATTACTTTAGATGTTTTTTAGTTTTCCTGTCTGCTTGAGCACAGTTAAACTATATTCAGCACTCAGTAGATGATGATTTCTATACACACATCAGGAATTCCATCTTGGATTACTGACAGTGGATTTCCTGATGCTTTTTGAAAGCTCTCACCTGTTTTTTGTTAGTTGTCTACTGGCAAGGTAAGAAATACTACTGCAGTTGTTAGCATATGCATTTTCAGGTGCCTTCTTTATAATTTGCAATGATATAATGATTAGCCATCTGCCCAGATGGTGACTGTCTTTTCCTTACTCATATCAATGGGCTGTTATTCACATGAGTAATCTCACCAGCTCAAGGTGTATTGCTTTTGTAGCTAACTGTTCCCTCATGGAAAGCCTGACAATATGTTCTGCAGCAGAACACAGTTAAAAGGCAGCATCATAATGCAGACCTGTAAATTGCCATTCTCCCACGTGAGCATCTAGGTAGGAGTCCTAGGAGGGCTGAACACCAAATGATAAAATCTACTTAGCTAATTCATATTGACCTGAAGTTATCTGCCTCACAGTAGACTAACAGCAATAGTAATTTATTTGCATTGAGGTAAAAGGTAAATTTATGTATTTTTACATTCTGATTAACAGCAATATCATAATTTCTTCAGATGCTAATTAATGACTTTCTCGTTCTAAGCAGGACTGTAAAATGGATTTAGAATTCAAAGACCGTACCAACAGCACACATACCAAGAACACCTCTGCTGCAACAAAGAATTTTTCTGCCTGGGAAGACTATAAGAGTAGTGTTGATGACATGCAGTACTTTCTCATTGGGCTGTACACACTTATAAGTCTGGCTGGCTTTGTGGGAAATCTACTTATACTAATGGCCCTACTAAAGTGCAAGCAGAAGACAGTAATAAACATTCTCATTGGAAACTTGGCCTTTTCTGACATCTTGGTTGTGCTGTTTTGTTCACCTTTCACGCTGACATCCGTCCTGCTTGACCAATGGATGTTTGGCACTGTCATGTGCCATGTAATGCCCTTCCTCCAGTGTGCCTCGGTCTTAGTTTCAACTTTGATGTTAATATCTATTGCTGCAGTAAGGTACCGTATGATAAAGTATCCCCTCTCCAGCAATCTCACAGCAAAGCAAGGCTATTTCTTAATAGTGATCGTTTGGGCCTTTGGCTTCACAATTTGCTCCCCTCTGCCAGTTTTCCATAAAACCGTGGACCTCAGCAAAACTCTGAATTTAGAGGGACTGGAGAACAGGCTGCTGTGCATCGAGTCCTGGCCCTCTGATTCCTACAGGATCGCCTTCACGATAACCTTGCTGTTCATGCAGTACATCCTGCCGCTGGCGTGCCTGACCGCCAGCCACACCAGTGTCTGCAGGAGCATAGGGGCTAGGCTGTCAAACAAGGAAAACAAGTTTGAAGAAAAGGAGATGATAAACCTAACTCTTCATCCCTCTAAGAGTGCTGGCGCACAGGTTCAACCCTCCAGATATTCCAGGTGGAGCTGTGCCTTTGGCAGAAGGCACCACAGAAGATACAGTAGAAAGACTTCAAGTGTGATGCCAGCTATTTCAAGGCATCATCAGGATACTCATTCCAGAGATCTCCCAGAAACCTCTGACACAGAAAAAAGCCAGCTCTTTTCCTCCAGTAAATTCATCCCTGGCATCCCTATCTGTTTTGAAATGAAACCAGAAGAAAACACAGAGATCCAGAACATGATTACAGTGTCCCAGTCCATCATCAGAATTAAGACAAGATCAAGGAGGGTTTTTTGCAGACTGACAGTGCTAATACTAGTTTTTGGCTTCAGTTGGATGCCTCTTCACCTTTTCCACATTGTCACAGATTTTAATGCCACTCTCATTTCCAACAGGCACTTTAAATTAGTATATTGCATATGCCATTTGTTGGGTATGATGTCCTGCTGCTTGAATCCCATTCTCTATGGGTTTCTTAACAACAGCATAAAAGCTGATTTAATGTCTCTTATTCCGTGCTGCCAAATACCATGATTTTATGTGCCCCAAGATAAAGTAAAACAAACAAGTATGGCTTTCAAGCCTAGTGGTGTGTATAGCTGTAAAAGCTCAATTAGTTTAGTTTAGTTAGTGTGAGTTGGTTGTGATTAGTAGCATTTTTTTGTGGATGGATAGTTCTATGGCTGCATGTATTTCTTGCATTGGGCAGAAATATATGCATATGTTATAATATTCTTTTATCTGTTACATGTAGGAAATCATGCTCAGTATACAAAACCAGAACACCATTTTCATTACCCAAATTGTTGGCAACCTGTACTTTGGAATTATACAGAATATATAATGAGTAATAAATGTGAGACAGACTGCTTAGACATGTCAGTATTAACTGTCATAAAACTACAATAAAATACATATAATTTACTAAATAATTATTGTTGAGATTATTTCAGTGCCAGCTTTGACTGTTTTGTAATATAATTAAATCTCTCTGGATGTTATTAGGAAAATATTTTTCCTTAGTTCTTTGACTCATAGCTTGCAATATCTTTGCAAGATGCTTTGCTGCTTATTCCTTGGTTGCCTTATTCCCTGAAATGGGTTTGAGGGTCATTGTTCTTGCCTTGATTGTTTCCATCCCACTGTACTTATCCAATACAACCTATCTCTGATTTCCTCAGACAATTTTCACTCTGGCTTGTCATTTTATGTCATTTTCATCCAGCCTGAATTTATCTATAGTTATGTCTTTATTCTCACAGTGATGACACCCCTGAACCCACAACACATTTCTGGTCAGAGTAAGCCTTCATTATCTAAGCAAATGATAATGGAAAGAAAAAGAAAATGGAAAGACATCAGGAATTTTTCTCTTCATTTACCAAAATGTAAAAACTCACTTCATTATAACTGACCGACTTGCTTTGCGAAGTTATAACAGCTTTCGAATAAACATGTGCATGTGTGCCTTGGCAGATGGATGGGGAGGGACAGAGCAGATTACTTTTAAATTCAACAAAGGCAAACACAGGGTCCTGCCCCTAGGGGGGAAATAACCTGTCCCTGCACCAGGACAGGCTGGGGGTGACCTGCTGAAAGCAGCACTGCTGAGAAGGGCCTGGGGGTCCTGGTGGACACCCAGCTGTCCATGAGCCAGCAGGGCCCTTGTGGCCAAGAGGCCAACGGTGTCCTGGGGTGCATTGGGAAGAACATTCCAGCTGCTTCTCTGCTCAGCTCTGGTGAGGGCACATCTGGAGTGCTGTGTCCAATTCTGGGCTCCTCAGGACAAAAGAGAGATGGAGCTTGTGGAATGGATCCAGTGGAGCACACCAAAATTGATGACCAGACTGGAGCATCTTTGTTACAATGACAGGCTGAGGGAGCTGGGCCTGTTCAGACTCAAAGAGAGATAACTGAGATAGGAACTCATCAATGTCTGTCAGTGCCTAAAAGGAGGGTGCTGCAGGGATGTTTCCAGGCTCTGCTTGGTGGTGCAGAACAATAGCACAGGAGCAATGAGCAGAAACTGATGCACAGAAAGTTCTACCTGAACATGAGGAAGAACTTTACTGTGTGGGTGAGCACACCCTGGAACAGGTTGCCCAGAGAGGGTGTGGAGTCTCCCTCACTAGAGATACTCAAGAATGGTCTGGATGCAATCCTGTGCTGTGTGCTCTGGGATGACCCTGCTTGAGCAGGGAGGTTGGATCAGATGTGACCCACTGTGGTCCCTTCCAACCTGACCCATACCCATTCTGTCATTCTATGTGTGCAAACACACAAATACACACATACACACGTTTTCTGCATTTCCTCTCTCCCCTTGTCTCCTTTTAACCAGACTAATATATTTGCTTCCAAATTTGAATCACAGGTATCTTCCTTAAGTCATATTATATTTCATAGCACAAATGCAAAGTGTATATTTATATATACTTACCTGCCCCAGATTAATTTAATAATCCGTCTCTGCCCTGTATATTTACTGTAGGATTCAGTAAATATACAAAGCCTTTGCTTTGAGTTTTAAACTGTAACACCTTTCATCAATTATAGCTGGTGATTATTTTCTTTTCTCCACTAAGATTTTATCCAATAGGCTTTTGTATATTTCTTCTACAGACTGAGAAACAAAGTTATTATTTTTATAAATGGGTGGTTGGAAACAGTCATTGTGCAATTTTTTCCCTCAAGATATGTCCTTTCCAGACAGTCTTTAAAGTGAAAGCAGTTCTTCTGTTTTGAAGAATCATCAGCTTATTTTTTATCATCACAGTGTTATAACTCTGAGACCTTTCCTCCCCAAGCCATTATCTGCTAAGGAGTTTATTACATGCCAGTGGGTAATAGCTTCTCTCCTTAAAGAATTTTTCTAACCTCTAGTTCCCATTAACCCATTGTTCTTTGTTTTCAATAGTGATATACTTTAATAGTTTTTTCCTGGGCATTGACTATTGCATTTTGCAGATTATTATCTTCTAAAATCCTATAATATGTCACTTAATAGAGTACAAATGGTACAGAATAGATACTGCTGGAACAATAGATTATTTAAATAGCTTTTTAGATTTTTTTAATACTTTAAAAATATAGGAAAAAGTTAAATCTACAGTCAACACAATTATGTCATCCTAAAGAAGTTACTGCAGCTTTTGCCCTCTTTCTGTCCACAAATTTTTGCATCATAGTAATATTTAATTTTATTTATATGTGATATAGCCAAATAGCATAAAAGGAAAAGAAAGCAGTCACATTGTTTCAGTTTGAAATATTCCTTCTGACTTAATTTTTTTTCAATTTATTGTTATCTTCTTTCCTACTTGCTGTTTATTTTCTATTCTTCCATTCTTTCAGAATTTTAACTATAACTCCTACATTGCCAATTGTTATTTATATATAAATTGTTTATTCAGTAATTATTCTTTCCAGAGCAAATTGTACTCACTCTGTATGGCAAACAGAATCATGCTAGGACTGTAACAAGGCCTAGTTTCTGAGTTGCACAAAGATTAGTCTGTACACTGGAGATTTTAGATTTATATCTATTTGCCTGGATGAAGTCAATAATTGTGCTCCCTGCTCTTTACACTGATCAAGCACAACAAATTGTAATTTGGCAATAGAGAATTAAATCAAGACAGCTATTGAACTTCTTTAGTCCTGTGCCATATAAATCTGTCATTTTTTCCAAAGCAATAGTGGGAGAATGTGTGTTTTCTTTTTATTTATAAAGCAATTGTTAGCATTCTATTTGGAGATTTCCAAAATATCCCTGTCTTTCCTCTGAAATGTTAAATAAAAATAAAGCAAGTTTTCTACCTTCCACTTCACTTCAGCAGCCAGTGTAGCTGGATCCCCTAGCAGCAAGGAATACCTACGAAGCAAACAGGAGCAGCAGCAAGTGAAACCAGGCATTAGGCAACTCCCGAATGCGAAGGAGTGACTTCTGTGAAAGGGATAAGAAACTGAACCAGCCATTTAATATTTTCCCAGTCTTGAACATTAAAAAAAAATTCTAAACACAAGGATATTTCCCCCTTGCTTCTTTACTAGGCCTCACCTGGTCTGAGCTGCAGTGAATGCTCCTGTAGCTTCACACGCAGCAGTGACTGGCAGTGTGCTGTTGTTTCCAATAAGTGCTGGGAAAATGTTATCACAATATCCAATGACATTTTATCATTCTTGTATGTAGACAGGTAGATGTGCAGGTACAGATGTAGATAATGCACACTTCCTAGAAAACAAAGCACATTAAAATGGATTTTCAAGTAGCACATGTAACCAAGTCCTTTGGTTAGCTAAAGTCTACCCCTTCTGTAACCAAAAATCTAAATAAATGGAAAGATAGGACTTTTGTTTTGATAGCATCCACTAAATGCAATCAGGAAACAGCAGCTGCAGAGCCATGTATCCATTGGAGTTAGAAGAATGGATTGTAATGGTAGAGTAATTCCTCTCAATTAAAAAAAAAAAAGGCTTTCAGACAGATGGTCTTTGTGTATGATGAATGTTTAAATTCTTGGGAAGACTCACATAACAAATTGTTTTTTCTAATTCTACAAAATATCATTTACAAAGTTGACTTTTTGCAAATGTCAAAGGTAAAAACAACTCACCTTTACCCCTTCTCTTTCAGTGGAGAAGAACCAGATGCCCTGGCATGTGCAGGTCAGCCCTGAGGCAGCCAGGGCAGTGGCCAGGGCTGAGAGGAGGTCTGCCCAGGCTGGCACTGGAGTGCATTCAGTGAGGTTGTGGTGAAGGGGTTGGGCCCCTGTGGTTGCCCACAGGGCCGTGGCAGCAGAGGCTGGGGAGCTGGCCATGGCTGCCAAGGGCCCAGAGCAGCTGCAGCCCCAGCAGGCAGCACAGAATCCTTCTGGGGGCAACTCTGTCCCAGGCAGGCCAATGGGACAGCAAAACCACAGCAGCTGGTTGTCCTGTTCCTGGAAGCTCTCATGACTAAATGTTTCCTTCTCTGAAATACAAACACCTGGGAAAAGCGGAAAAATTATCCATTGATCTGCAGATGTGTAAGAACCAAGGAGAAGAGCATAGTCAGGAAGAAAAGTGCTCACTTCCAATCATGCTGAGTTAGGATCCAGTTCTGCTGTGCAAAAGTAATAACAAATTAAAAAAACCTTCTGCTATCCACTATCCATAGGAGCCTGTCAGCTATTATTGCGCTTTTGGAAAAAAGCATATATATCAATAGATTTTCACAGTAGTCCCAATATCCCTCTGCAGAATACACGACAAACAGTATTAAACATCACAGTCTCTAGAAAGATGACTTTCATAAATACTGTTAGGTTCATATGACTTTCATAAATACTGTTAGGAATTTAACCTTTTATTCTGCTGAAAGCTAAATTATGCCTATACTATTTGCATTTATAATTCCTTGCCAGAAAATACATTAGTACAGTCTGGAACTGCCTTAGAGCAGCAGCAAGACTCTTGTCCTAGACATGTCACTTCCTTTTTTCCCCCTACATGCCTGGAATAATAGTGTAAAATCACGAACCTCATGACTTTAAAGACAATTAAGTCAATTTTTGAACTGTTTTTGACCATATGTGGTCTCTGAGGTCAGGCTTCTTGTTCTTTTATTTCATATACAGTTAAATACAAACCTCTCATATTCTTTTTTTCCTAGAGCCTTTTACATGCAATATGTTATGAGGACTCCTGCAGTTGCCTTGTTCTGATCCAAAAATATATACACCTTTTTGAAGGTATATTAATTGAAGGTTGCCCTTACACTGTGAGTAGGGAGAGCTGATGCGAATGTTCATATTCAGTTGAAGTAACTTTTCCAGGAAGAGAAACAAAAGAGAGAAAGAGAGCTAAAAGCAGATCCACACTAACACTACTTACCCACATTCTGCCAATATCGAAGGAATACATCAAAGCCAGACCCGTCTCAAGCACCTACCACGAACAGTTAGTGTGTGGCAGTAGCACTGAACATTACTAATCCCACAGGTGACCCAGAAGCCTATTG